CTCTCCCCCTCTCCCTCCTTCCTTCTCTTCCTCTCTCCCTCCCTCTCTCCCGGGATCCCTCCCTCCCTCCTTCCTTTCCTCACTCCCACCCCCTTATCTCGCTTCCTTCCCTTTCTCCTCTCCGTCTTTCTCCTCCTTCTCACCTACCTCAGCATGCTGAGGGCCTCCTCCACGTCGTCGCGAGCGAGCGCGAGGTCGGCATTGGCAATCATGATCTTCACCTCCTCCGGCGTGCCCTTGAACTCATTAAGGGCATCCTGCACGACCTTGGCTGCCTCCGGCTGAAGGTCACAAAAGACAGCGGAGTGTAACAATGCAATTCTCATCTATACGCAGTTGTGCTTCAAACAACACTGTCCCAACTATATTATCAGGAGTGTATCAAGATATCTTGATACAATATCTTGATACACTCCTGACTAAAAAAAGCCAAAATTAATATTTGATTGTCGTGTTAATTTAGTAACACGTCAGATGATACATTTACACATCTATCCATATATACATGCTTACCTTCTGGCCTAGCTGTCTATGTGAGTCCGCTAGTTCAAGAAACACAATGACTCGATCGCTAACACTGATTGGAGGTGCATCCTTATTAGGTGAACCTCTTTGCGGTCCTGAACCTGTGAAGCAATGCATATTCCAAGATTGAAAACATGTTATATGTTATATATGCCACAATATACAATGGAAACAATGAAGTGATAAAACTCTATACTAATATATGGCAATGCCTTCTAATAACCCCTACACCTTGTTTCGAAAAACACATCCGAAACTCAACTCATAATGCTTAGTCAACAATCCTTGAGCCTACACACAGTCACACTAGTGAGCAAATCACATGATGAATTCATGACAGCATGGTATTCAATCACATAGATCTTCGCATTAATTTATAACTAATCATTTTTCAATTTTCATTAATTTTCATTAACTTTCATCAATTTCCATTAATTTCTTTATATCAATTTTCATTAATTTCTTTATATCAATTTT